CGGAGGCAAGGACGGCACCGCCATGCTGTGGGACCTCAAGGAGGGCAAGCGCCTCTACTCCCTCGACGCCGGGGACATCATCCACTCCCTCGTGTTCTCGCCCAACCGCTACTGGCTGTGCGCGGCCACCACCGCGGGCATCAAGGTAAGCGCCAGGCAGGATTACTCTTGGTTTTGATCGCGACGCACAGGGTGAACACTTGCTGGAACGGGCATGTTTCGTGCCCTGGATGGGCGTTGATACTTCCTCAATTGTTTTTGAGGCACACCGTGACTTGAACTCTTGTGCATGCCACGTCGGTGGACTTGTTCCGACAATCTCAAATGGGGTATATATATGCGAAGTTACCGAGCAACGTGAGTCGTTACCCATGGCGGGCAGATATCCACGGGTGCAGTATCAACGGTGTCTCGCTGTAACAGCGAACAAACACCGGCGGCGGGGTTGGTATGTCTAACTAGCGAGCACGATCACCTCGCGTGTGGTGCCACTGCAGTGGCGGTTTCCTTCTTTTTCTCAAACTTGGTGATATCCCTTCCATCCTAAACCTGACAGGTTAGGCCATTGGTTGTCGTGCGTTTATCAGGGCTTTGTTTTTCGAAATGTCTTAAGATGTTTGTGTTTCTTTTGTCAGATCTGGGACCTGGAGTCGAAGGTTGTGGTGGACGAGCTCCGACCGGAGTTCCCCGAGGTGTCGGTGAAGGCCATCGTGCCGTACTGCACCTGCCTCTGCTGGTCCAACAACGGAAGCATCCTCTACTCCGGGTAAGGGCCGCATCTTGTATAGAAAGTACACTCTTCTAAGGGCGGTAAATCTGAGCGTCCTTGTTTCATTTCCAAGAAGACACGAAAAGAGTCCATAGGCCGAAACTTCAAAGAATATCTACGATGCGCACCGGTAGATAATAGCGAAGAATCCCGGGTCTCAGCAGGCGTTGCCCCTCGAGCGTTTACGCGCACTGTCCAAAATGGGCGGAGCGCGTGGTTGGCGAGGGGTGTCATGAACCCGCAGAAAGATTGCCCATGAGGCAACCAGTTTTAAAAGCCTGCCCCGCCTACTTCT